CACAAGTCTGAAGATTTTATCAACCTCCTTGGATATGTGAGCGCTTCTGAACTCTTGGACAAAACTTATATAATTTTGGAGACTTAATTTGGCATGCATGTGATGAAAAATAATTCTGCAGTCGTGGCAGCTCTGGGAATGTGGAAGATATCTTGAGCTTCTAGAAGCATCAATTGTAATGGAAATTCATCCAGCAGAGGCGAGAAGGTTCATTCACATTGTACTGATGTGCGTACAAGAGAATGCAGATGATCGACTAACCACGTCAAATGTCGTTGCAATGTTAAACAACGAGAATGTTATTCTTCCAGATCCTAATCATCCAGCATACTTCAGTCTAAGAGTACCTAATGTACATTAATCGGCCACTGCTGTTGTGCCATGTAGTAATAATGATGTAACCATTACTGAGCAGCCAGATGGAAGATAATTGGTCACTTTGTTTCCATTTTTGTGGCTGTAAGCGATTTCTCACCAAGAAAAGATTAGTGATCATGTGTTCGTAGGAACCAGTGGATCACACAAGAAAACTCCAAGGGAACAAACACAAAGACATATGTCCTTTTATCAATTAATTTTCCTAATATATTTTGAACATATCTTAGAGTACAGGTAGTGATAGCTTACACAAAAAACATTTATATATTCCATTGTTGCATGCGAAAGAAAAAAAACGAGGAACAAAGAAACAAGGACAGTATTATGAAACTGTTCCACATCATTTGAATAATAGCAAACCAAGAAAAGTATCATATAGCTAGTAATCAGCCTGTCCAACCACATGCTTATGAAAAATAAATCTGAGAATGGTTTCATACTTAAACCATACTTGAACCATACCCGTACATGTATCTCTCAAAACCATACTTAAATCATACCCGTTTAATGCTATTTTCAGCCCAACCAAAATTAAACCATTTATTTTTTCACCCAAACCAATTTAAACCCAATACATAACCGTGGGTTTAAACCCAATACATAACTATGGGTTTGCTTCAATGTATATATGATTGCACAAATCGACATGTTAAGAAGCAAAAAATGACATAGAAAAGGCATAAGTGCATCTACAACAGTTTGGGAACAAAGTTATCGTTGAGATACGGTCAACACACAACAAGAGTCAAAAAGACAATGCCCACAACTGAAAAGCTCACTGACAAGTGTATTGAAACCAATTGCTTAGCTAAAGCACAAGCAAACACATTCGATTTGCATGTGGTGTTTCCTCATAATACAGAATTACATAGTGCATCGTAGCATGTACGCGGATCAAAGATACTCATTGTCGATGCGTCCTTGCTTATTGCACATAACCAATGCCCAGAAACCGGTTTGGACCCATAGTTTATAGCCGTTAATAACCAAACTGTTTAAGCCCATAACCAACTATACCCAAATTGGTTTCTTCACATACCCAAACCAAAACCAAACTAAAAAAGATTCAGCCCAATAAAACCATAACCAATCAAACCCAAAGTAAGAACCGAACCGTTTCACCCAGTTTTTTAATAACCATTCTCAGGTTTAATGAAAAAAGAGACCACCCGACACAAACCCATATAGGAAACATCTGCATATAACTCAGCAGTCCATGCAATGCTTGTCCTTTATTAAACATCTGCATAGAACTCAGCAGTCCATTGTTGCATGGAAAGGTCATCATGTAAAATAATATACAGAAAGGGAATAGACTTATAACAAACTAAAGTCAAAAGCAACTGAAGGGGGTTATATTAATTTTTGACCTTGGTAACATGGATCTTCGTAGCCACCGGTAAGTCCCTTTGTACCATGGACAGGATCTTCTCCATTTCTGCAGTATATTGGACTTCATGGTCATCTCTTGCGTTGTGCTTGATTTCTACCAACTTAAGGCTGGAGATTGTGCAACCCATCTTAAAAATGTTCGAAGCAGCAGCACCATATTGAAACTCTTGGCACTGCACAAATGAGCAAAGCAAATAATTTAAGACCTAAGACATAGGAGTACAATATATATTGAGGTAGAAAAATTTACTAACTGAAATTAAAAGTATGTACCCCACAATTGTTGAGAGTAAGCTTCCCAAGGGTAGGCGTATTATGCAAGAAGGACCACAACGTCTGAATGTTGTCACCTATCTCACACTTGTCAAGGACCAAGGTTTTTAGGTTGGCGAGTTGTGGTAATTTGTTTTGCTTCTCATCAAGTATTGCCTGCAACATAGGACGGGGGAGCAAATCATCATCACTTGTCCGTGCCATAGTTCGATAAAACCCCGCTGGAAATCGAGTACCCGGTGATGGAAGATCTGGAATATGTTGCTCTGCTACTGCCTATATATATTGTAAGTGACAAGAAGATGGTTAATTTATAATCTAATTGAGAGAATAAATGTGTGTTCGCTAATTGAAACGAAGTGCGCACCATATCTCCAAAGCCTGACAGCTCCAAGTGACTGACGTTGGATAGAGATCGGAGAAGTTTGCATAAAGCTATTAGCAAATCTTTGTCATCTTGATAATAGTAGCAACTTCCATGTACCTGCCGAACTTTAGGCTTGTCCAGGAAGTGGATGGATGCTTCGACAGGAGAAGCCGCCTCACACACGGTGACAGCGAAAACGCCAAGGCGGCGAAACTGAACGACGAGGTGTGGTGAGGCGAGACGAGGGGCGTCGACGAGGAAGTGTAACCTTGTTCCTTCATTGGATGTGGGCGAGTTATCAACAATGAGGTTCTTGAGCGTCTCGGACGCGATTCTTGAGATTTTGGACATCTCCGTGCCTCTGATCTCGAGGTCTTGTAGGACGGGGAGCCCCGCGCTGAGGTGCTTCTCAAAATCCTTGTGGAGACATACGTTATGGAGGCGCAGCTTGTTGAGGCGGTGGGTGCCAGGACCAGACGCCAGAGGAGGCAGCTTGATGCCGGAGACGTCGAGGGTCGCCGGGGAGCACCGGAGGCCACGTCGAATCCACCTGGTGTGCGACCTGCAGTAGGAACGGTCGTGGAAGAGGGCAAGCTCAACCGCAGGGTGCCCAGCGGCGAGGCACACGCGCCGCGACGGAGCAAGAGACTGTCGACGAAATCGTCAAATTTGTCGAGCTCCTCATCCTCCTCCTCATCGTCGTCCTCGCTGAACCGGGGTTTGAAGCTCACATTGTGCTGACGGTGAGCCACGGATGCCCACTCCCCTGCGTCGATGTCGAGGCACGGCGCGGTGAGCCAGAGGCGGCGCCATGTCGACGACAGCGCGCAGGTCTGCACGAGCTGGCGGGCCTTCAGGCGCGACATGATGTCCTGGAGGAGGCACTCCGGCAGCTCGCTCAGCCGGTCCACATCGTCGGAACGCCGTCGCTTGGCCATGGAAGCAGATGCTGGGGAATCCGATCTGATCTCACGTTGCAGGGCCCGTCCGCTTTCTTGACGCCGAAATTTGTTTAGATCCGATTCTCCCGGACCCTAATAATTTCCGTCGGTCCGTGGACCCGACACACGTAGGTCCGTGGACCCGAACAGATCATCAAAGTGGGCCGTTTACAGCTCTCGCATGAACAGCTCCGTTACAAAAAATAATCAGAGACGGTCGCGTTCTAGATCAAATTGCAAATCCATTGTGTCCGTGGCGTCCATATATTTTTGGGAAAAAAATTATATGAGACCAGTTCTTACGGTTAGCAGGTGAGATCCGTCCTGATGGATAACACGTGACATTCACAAATCACAAAGCATCCACAAATCACGTGTCATCCATTAGAATGGGTCTCGCGTGAGACCAGTCGCATAGAATTCTTTTCCATATTTTTGGCCCGTTCGCTTAGAAAAGGAAATAAACTAGCCTATAGCCTATACAAAACCTAGCGATCGAGAGAATCGAGCGCAACGAAAGTATCGCACGTCGTCTCCAACCCATCCACCTGATCATCGATCGTTCTCGACACATGGTCCAGCCGATGCGTATGCCGCCGCCGCAGCCCTACGAGTACGACGACTACGACCCCACGAGGGGCACGATCTCCTGCTTCACGGACCACGGCCTCGCCGATGACCCCATCTCGGCCGCCACGCTCGAGGCCCTCCGCGTCATCCTCGTCGGCCACTACGACGAAGCGTTCCGGCGGCTGCCCGTCGAGGACATGCCGGACGGTCTCGACCTGACCCAGCTCGCCGACCGCGGCGGCTTCTGCCTCGGCCTCCTCGATCCCGTTACCAACATCGTCCTCAACACCATCTCCCTCCTCCCACACGGATTCGAGTTCGAGGCAAACCCTAGCCCGGCACCGTCCGGTCCAGGACGCAGGATGCCGTCGGGCCGCCGAAACGAGAGCAGAGATGCATGGCACGGCGTCGCGTGCAGGTCCAGCGGGTGCCTCCTCGAGTTCATGAGGGCCTACTTCGGACTGCTCAGCGAGGAGCAAGCCGGGCGGTACCTCGTCTGGGCGCGTGCCGACATCGCCATGGCGGTTCTGCTCGTCGAGCACGAGCTCTACATCGCCCGGCCTGCGCCGCCGGACCCTGGCTCTGGGAGGACGCGGCAGTCTCTCAGGCTCGCGGCTATGCACATGCAACACCCTTCGCCGGACAGCCTCGTGTCGCTCGCGACGGCGTGGCTTCCACCGCAGAAGCTCGAGATACTTGCCCCCATCCTACGACACGACGGCGGTCGGAATAGGCTGGCTGTCCAAGACGTAAAGAACATCCTCCACGTGCTGCGCCACCAAGACGACATCTCCGCCATGGCTACGTTGCAGTCACCGCCGCCGCTTGAAGAAGGCACTACGAGCTGCATCTACCTTGGAGATGGCCGGATCGCGTACACCACCATTGTCCAGCGAGCCGGCGACCACATCGCATCTCTACGGTGTCCTCAAGACACGCAGTCCACGCTAATCTCTTACTCGACAGCACCACCGTCGGCGACAGACACGACGGCGGGGCCGCACGACTCCCCTTGCGTGTACGTGGGGTCTCTTGACGTGGACGACGCCCGACAATGCCCGTACGTACTGTCTCTGGAGATGTCCCTCCTGGGCACCATCCATGGCTTCTACCTCAGGGCGCTCGCCATGCTGCCAAGCTATGCCGCGCGCCACCATGTACGCGGCATCCTCCTCGCCGGCCACTGCTACGGCCCTATGGACCCTGTCTCCAACATCATCCTGAGCACCGTCTGGTATGACGCGAACTTCCCGCTCCCCGTGGCTGATCGTGGGATGCAGGCGCACGACATCCTTGACACCCTCACCATGCTCAGGGTGGTCACTAGCTCCCTGCACGGCCTCATAGCTCTCCTGCACGCCAACTCCGGCAAGCATCTGCCGTTGCACGAGATCTTGAAGTACCTCTGCTACAGGAAGTGCGACTTGGCCACAATGTTACAGCCACATCTACACCGGAGCTCTCCCAACCCTTTTGCCAGCGCCGCCGCTGCTGCTCGTCACCCGCAAGCGTCCGCTTGGGCAACATTTCTTTCATCATTGGCACCGACGAAGCTAGACCAGATACGGTCCTCGATGATTAGTGCCACTGCCAACAACACTGCGCTTTCTTACGAGTCTTTGACCCAGATATACAACATCCTCAGAGAGGAAACCCGGACGGCGATGATTCTGCCGGCTCCCAGACTCTGTCGGACGGCGGTGAGCATTCTCACAAGAAAGAGGGAGGCCTATGCTCACCAGCAGAGCTTCATTCGCGGTAGGATTGAACAGTTACTGCTGGAATACGCGCGTCGCCATCCTTCAGAAACAAAATATGATCTGGATTTTATATGCGGTGTAGCCGTAACAGTAACCGGTCACCAGGATCAATGCTACCATGTCAATTTCATGGCAGCTACCAAATCGACATCCAAGAACACACTTTTCTTTGCCGAGTTTTGGTGGGCATATCAAGATCAGTCAAAGCCTTCCGTATGCTGCCCTCTGCCCCAACCGTATACCATGGGTAAGTACTAAATAAGTAGACTTTTCATCCTTAATATGTTGAGTTCTCAAGTATATTTAAGGAGTGCAAACTTCTCAAAATAAATGTGCATTCGTTTGGTGCAAATTTGGTTCTGCCAACAGGTCGTTGCTACTACGGCCAGGAGTCTGCTCGTAAGCTCGCCTATCCGGATGACTCCATCGACTATTTCTCACACGACATTACTCATGGCGGACTAGATGACACGGAAGGCATACTAGACACGGACTTTTTGTACTTCGACTCCGAGAGGGACGTCGAACTTGCCAAGGTCTTGCAGAGGATGGGCAAGAAAGAAGAGGTCATGCAAAGGTCCTCTACTGGAAGGCGTGCTGAATGGACCGCCGGTGTTCCTCTGTGTTAGGTTTATTCATGCTTTGAATTATAATGTAGAAATGTTTGGAGAAAGCTGGATACACTAGTTAACGAGAATAGTTGGGTGTGGATTAGTGTAAACCTTAAACTTGTTAATTGCTAGCTCAATGTGATCAACCATTTGACATCTGCCTCCTCCGCGGTGATGGTAAATGGTAGACCAGCACCATACGTAAAACCTTGAAAACAAGGAAGGCCCATATAGATTAGGGACAACGCAGGCGCCGCAACCCCACGATCCTACACTTATCAAATTTCCCAATTTCCAGCCAACTAGGGGCGGTTTGTTGGGACAAACTCCGGACCATCTCCCTCTCCCTCCCTCTCTCTCTGTTAGGTTTAGGTGAATACCTGGCTCGGCAACACACCGGCTCTTACATGCAAGACTATAGACGCCCTGGACACTAACTCCAGCCACTAACCAGCTAGCTGTTTGTTGCCAGCTCCCGCTGACGGCTCGGCCAAGACCAACCGTCCGTGATCAAGATTAATGCTTACACGGTTAGCATTAAACAATCTACTAATCTCTTTCAACTTTTACATTATGCCCCTAAAAAATATACAGTTGATGTAATTATGTGATATTTGATGTCTTTCTTGTGAGAAAACTTCCAATCTATTTATCTTTAATCATGACAGTACAATGAATATCAGAAATAATAAAAATTACATCTTGATCCGCAAACCACCTAGCGACGATTACAAGCACTGAAGCGAGCCGAAGGCGCGCCGCCGTCATCGCCCCTCCCTTGTCGAAGTCCAGCACAAATTGTTGTAGTAGACAGTTGAAAAGTCGTCGTGCTAAGGCCAGCGCACCAAAACAGCAACCGCCGCCGATGAAGAATAACGTAGCTCGAGAGGATCCACCCCAAAGACACACGAACATAGACGAACGATAAGCGGATCCGAGCAAATCCACCGAGGATAGATCCACCGGAGACACACCGCCACACGCTCACCAATTATGCTAGACACACCATCGGAATGGGGGCTAGCGGGAAGACCTTTATTTCAACTTTAGGGAGCCGCCGCCGTCTCGCCTTCCTGAGTAAAACACAAACCCTAGCAAAAATCAAAAGAACGACTAATAACGAAGCCCTCCGCCGGCCCTTGCCAAGATCCACTACACCCCCATGGCCATCGGAGGCGAGGCAGACCTGTGGCGGCACCAACGAGAGGCACGAACGAGCAAGGCATTGGGAGGAACCAAACTCAACAACGTCACCACTGCCACCTTACAGGCCTCCAGCGGCGGGATTCACCATGACCTTCGCACGCCTGGGTGGCCAATGGTTAAAGCACAATCAGAGATGATGGCCACCGCCGATCTCGTCGCCACACACGGTGAGCTATCGCTTGGTACCAGCCTTCGTGCCGATGAATATAGTCATGCTCATTGTGTTTGTTCTTGTGCATGATGGTTTTAATCCAGTACTTTAGGGTTATTTCATGATTATATTTGTGCTGATATATTGTTCGGTTAAAATTACAATTGCGTCAGTAATTAGGAGTGGCTAGTTCGACTGGTTACCAACTGTAGTTTGTGACGTGCGGGCGTGAGTTCGAGTCGAGGTCCCAACTTAATTCTAGTGAGTTTTTATATTCAGCGCCTGCAAATGGGCCAGCCCATTTTGCGCACTCTTCAGCGAAGGCTTTTCTGTTTGCCGCTCGCGAGCATTCAATAGGACCTTTCCTCGCGTTCATCGAGCAGCCGCGAACCCTCTCGCTGAAGGGGCGACCGTGATGGGCCAGCCCGGGAGCTCGGGAGGCAACAACCTCCTTTTTCTATTTTTGATGAGATGAATGTGTGGCCACACGAGAAAGGAGAGAGTCCGGAATGATGATATACGAGATAGAGTTGGGGTAGCAAGGAACCAACAAACCCTCTTTAAGTTTCATATAGGCCAACTTTTTAATGCGATCCAAGCAACCAAACAAGCTAAAAACATTCCGTCCGGTCTGGCTGAGACTAATGCAGGCTCCCAAACGGGCGTTGGTGTTATCGTGGTCACCCATCACGTCCATGACCCGGTGACTCTGACTCCGCTGGCTACGTACGAAGATGAATAGAAGACGGTGCGGCGACAGCAAGACCAGGACGGCGACGCAACCAAAGTCGCCGACGGGGTAGAAGATGGGCAGCTTTCGGTTAGGTTCGGTGTTTTGTGTTCGGTCTTGGGTCTTGGGTCTTTGCAAGAATCATGCTCACCCCACTCAAACGCGGGTCAGTCAAACATTAAATGTTCGGTCTCTCTCGCCGGTAACTAAATACATAGTACATCCCAGCATATCATCATGAATGTGATGCTGATATAGGAGCAACTCGCTCTTGCATTATTTGGCCAAATAAAAAGAAAACCATCAACGATCTTCGGGCAATGCCCGGTGTAAACTAGTCGATGGACATGGTTATCGTCCTCTTCCTTCTCCTGCCTTTCGTTGGTGCCGAATGGCAAGTGCGCGGCAGCAGCGGCAACTACACATCAAACAGCACCTACCAAGCCAACCTCCTGCTCCTCTCCTCCACCCTTCCCAACAAGGCCGTGTCCAACACCACCAGCCTCTTCGCCACCGCCACCACCGGCGATGCTCTGGACATCGTCTACGCCCTCGCGCTCTGCCGTGGGGACACCACCGACGCCTCCGACTGCGAGAGCTGCGTGGCTGCCGCCTTCCCCGATGCCCAGCAGATCTGCCCCTACAATAAGGACGCCACCTTGTACTACGATGCCTGCATGCTCAGGTTCTCCAACCATAATTTTCTTCTTGCCAACAGCACCGAAGATAAGAAGAGCTGGATCACCCTCCGGAACAACCTCAACTTCACCACAGGCGGCGACTCCGCCAAGCACTTGCTGTTGATGCGTCTCAACAGCACAGCCCAAGCGGCTGCAAACAGCTCGAGGAGGTTCATCACCTCGCGCTTAGGCGTCGACCTCGTCCCGACGACGGTGTACTGCCTTATGCAGTGCACGCCCGACCTCACGCCCGACGACTGCGCGGCTTGTTTACAGCTTGTTTTGAAGCATACGATCAAGTCCCTAGATGGAGCGCAAGGTGGTCGAATTCTCGGGACACGGTGTAGCATGAGGTACGAGCTATACCACTTCTACGAAGGGGTCCCCATGCTTGCAATTCCGGCCGTCAACGGCACTAGGCCAGCACCCACGCCCGCTACCAGGTACCCACATTCCCAGTCACACCCACCAGCTGCGGCGCCTCCCCGGCTGGCGCAGACGACCATCCAAGAACAGCAGGGTATGTAAACTTCTCACCCTGTCCAGGACATCCTTAATTGGATTTGATTAGTTGATTCAGAAAAATCATGGAGAAAAGCTTTTTTAAAGGAGGGAATTCCCTCGGTCTTCGCGTCGAGATGCATACAGCTAAAAATAACTTATCGTACGTACTGATATACATTATCCACACGAAATTTTGTTTCATAGCAGCTGATTTACTCTAGCACATGATGGTAATCTCCACTTACAAAAATTGCTTCTTTGATCTCTATGATAAGTAGCATGTTAAATACGTGGTACGTAGCACTATTACACTGGTATTAATTAGTAGACCTGAGCTTAGAATAGATGAATAAAAATAAATAAGTAGAAGAACTAAGTTTTAAAAAACTAAGCTAAGTGAATCAAAAAGAAAAGGAGGTTCCTTGACAAGGGGGTAAACCGTTAGAATCGGAACGGTTCAAAGGTCACTGACATACGTGAAAATTCCTGTCAAATATGGCTGGCATATGTTTAATTTGTCAAGCTGATTTCTCATATATTGTCTATCACTTGGCAGAAAGAAAAATATATTGTCTCTATCACTAAATGATTCTGTTTTCATTTATATGAGAACTATACATGAACTAGCCTTTTTTTTTCTTAGGACGCAACTCACGCAAGAGGGTGGTGTGGATTATTGCTGTGGTGGCTCCACTCCTGTCAATACTCCTATGCTTCATCTGTTCGGTTATATGGCTGAGAAGACGAAGAAAAGGTTTGTTCTAATTATGGTTCATTCACAACAATGTTCCTCTAAAGAAAAACTAACAATTATTGATGTAGCCAGCCAGGTTAAGTTTCAGTCCCAGATTAAGATGATATTTATGTATTCTCTCAATTTAGGAAAGGAAAACTTAAACGATCAGGTTGCCACCAATAGACCAGAAGAAGACGAACTTGTCTGGAGATTGGAGGAGAAGAGTTCAGAGTTCACTCTCTTTGACTTCTCTGAGATATTGCATGCCACACATAACTTCTCCAAAGAAAACCTACTTGGACAAGGTGGTTTTGGCCCTGTCTACAAGGTAAATGCATTGTCTTGAAAAGATTCAATACTAAGATCATTCTATAATAATTCTCTTAAATAAATCTAAGATTGGCTGGCCATTAATCAATACACATTCTTGCGCGTACCCTGCAAATACATAACACTTTGCAGAAATAAAAATTAAGAAAATCTTGATAACTTGTTTATTTTGTTTTATTTTGCAATGGATGACCTGTAATCCTTATTTTATCATTTCAATAAAAAACAATTACGCCTCCAATTTTGGTTTGTACATATTTACAGGGCCAATTACCAGATGGAATGCAAATCGCAGTCAAAAGGCTTGCCTCACATTCAGGACAGGGTTTTACAGAATTCAAAAATGAAGTTGAACTTATTGCAAAATTACAACATAATAATCTTGTCAGGCTCTTGGGATGCTGCATTAAGGGAGAGGAAAAACTATTGGTGTATGAATATTTGCCAAATAAGAGCTTGGACTTCTTTATATTTGGTATGCACAGTGTAGTTTTTAACCATATTTTGGATTGTGATCCATCCATGTTATAAAATGCACTCTCTAATGTGCAGAAAGAAACAGGACAACTTTTATTGATTGGAAGAAAAGACGTGTGATAATCGAAGGGATAGCCCAAGGTCTTCTCTATCTCCACAAGCACTCTCGGCTACGCATCATACACAGAGACCTTAAGGCCAGCAACATTCTCTTGGACCAGGACATGAATCCTAAAATTTCTGATTTTGGCCTAGCAAAAATATTCAGCTCCAATGATAGTCAGGGAAGCACAAAGAGGGTAGTAGGAACATAGTAAGCATATTTCTTCCTTACAATCTACAGCATAAGTAGTGCCTACTATACCATTTATTAGTTGATGAAACGAGTCGTATATTTTGATATAATATTTTCTTGTTCTTCTAACTCATTTCAGTGGTTACATGTCTCCGGAGTATGCATCTGAAGGCATTTACTCAATCAAATCAGATGTGTTCAGCTTTGGCGTGTTACTTCTTGAGATCCTTAGTGGAAAAAGGAATTCTGGTTTCTACCAGTACGGAGACTTTCTTAACCTTCTTGGATATGTGAGCGTTTTCTAAACCCTCACATGTACGGGCGTGTTATTTTCGTAGTGGATTTATAACTTTTACCATGTATATGCATATTATGAAGATACTTTCTCGCTTTCTGCAGTCATGGCAACTCTGGGAAGGACGAACGTGGGTTGAGCTTCTAGATGCATCAATTGTAAAGGAGATCCATACATCAGATGCTAGGAAGTACATTAACATTGCACTGTTGTGTGTACAAGAAAGTGCAGATGATCGACCCACCATGTCAGATGTCGTTGCAATGTTAAACAGCGAGAGTGTTATTCTCCCCGAACCAAATCATCCAGGATACTTCAACCTAAGGGTGTCTAAGACACATGAATTTTTTGTCCCATGTAGTAATAATGATGTAACCATCACTGAGGAGCCAGATGGTAGATAGTTGATCACTTTATTTCAGTTGTTAATGAAAACAAGCAATCATAGTGGTGTCTGAGTTGTACAAATATTCTGGAGTAATTCAAATATTCTGCAGTATATGGTAGATAGCAGATACTCTAGATGTTAACTATTGTACCTATTGTTATCCAAAAGTAATTCAAGCTTAAAGAAGCCCAACATAGGCATACGTAACAAGTGAATAAAGCTACACTACTAGAAAGCATTACATCATACACGGGCAAAACCCAACAATGCACATGGCATATCAAAGAGACATATCTACATCATTTCATTGCTATGCAATGCTTTGGTACACTGCACATGAGTTTTTTTTTCTCGAGAGAGTGTTTTGCAAGGTGTCACCAAAATGTTATGTTGGTTTTAAAATTAAATTTTGGCACACTGTACAAATTTTTTTTTGGCACACTGTACGGAAAATGTCACAGATTCAAGGGTTAGATGTTCCGAATCTGATGATGGAGCTGGCAAACCTTCCTACTCTCAGGAAAAAGAGAAGCAAGGATCGGGATTCGACATTTTTGAGTGCACAACATAGCTCCTCCATCATGTACATGATATAATGTGCAGATGGTGAGCATAGTGCAACAGCAGGGCCAAGATTTAGGTATGGGGGGGGGGGGCTAAGTCGATGAAAAATAATCCAATGTGATAACTATCGTAATGTTAGAGGAATTCTGTGATTCTGTGCTTCGAGGCTATAACAACATAGTTACATTGGTATTAGCCTAGATTTGTCTACAATTGCTGAAAGATCCAAAATATTAATAATTTATCGGAAGAAATTTTTTCTGCTAATGCCCTTTCAATATAGATCCTGCAATGCCCAAGCAAATCAAGTATCTTCCAACTACAAAATGTCTCTTCAAATTTTCATACATAGCTTAAAATTCGAATCGATCTTAATACTAGTGGCACCTTTCTGTTCATAACTTCATGTCTTGGAATTAACATCAAATGTCACACAATTAAAATAGTTACATAAATTGTATATTTTTGACAGGCATAAGATAGGAGTTAAAAGAGATTAATTAGTAGATAGTTTAGTGCTAACCTCACATAGTTGGCCAGAAAATTGATAAGTGCACGACCATAAGTTGCGGTGCTGGCGTCGCCCCATGATCTAACAGTAATGCTACATCAACGGGCTTTTACAGGGGTGTTACGGGATGATTATTACGTGGCAAGTTGTCATTGGATTAAAAGGGAGAGGAACGGGTCCCACCCACCTGAAACTCAGGGAGGGCGGTAGAGAATTAAGGAAAGGCTCCATAAACGCAAGTAAAATGTCCGTGAGTTTAGCATTTTCGCATGATCTAATCTCACTTTGAGAGAGAAATTGGCAGGAGGCAGCAGCAGGGCAGGACGGCAACCCTAATTGCCTAGTTCTTTGTAGGGAAGCGCTAATCGCCTAATCAATCGCACATTAATCATGGGAGTTAAAAGTTCGTTTAACGCCAGGACTAATGGCAAATGAGGGCAACATGTGGGCTTTAGTATGGACCTTCTCTGTTTCAGGTTCTATGTTTGAATCTGGGGGGCATAGTACGTCTAATGGCCTATAGTTCTCGCTAATTACTGCTACACGTGGTACAAAAACTCGATCGATAGGGGGGCTAGTCCCC